TGGTGAGTAGTTTATTTTTATTTTGTACTGCCTTTGTGTAAACAAGGAATGTGAAAGCTTGTTTGTTGACTGGTTTGTGAAAGTTGACATTGGATATTTGGCAGTATACCAATGTGTTATACCCCAGCTAACAAAACTATGTTTTGCTAACGTTCCCATTAAATTATTAAAACGTTATTTGGATGCTTTTTTAAACGTTTTTCTTGTTTTTTTGGAACATTACAGAAAATATTAATTGAATATTCCGTTTGATTTGTTTTGCAAACACTATGGGAATGTTACTTATGAATGTTCTGTTGTCCTCTGAATAATCTGAAACTAGTTAGTAACGTTTGGTGAACATCCCACAACATTTGTGTGATAACGTTTTAAGAACATTATTAAAGTTTAGCATTGAACAAATATTCTATGAGCTTTACTGGTGGAATGTTTGTTCATAACTTTGAGAGAATCTTACCACAATGTTAGCCAAAGTTCGGGGAATGTTCCCTGTTAGCTGCTTACTTGTCTTCACTTATTTTCTGCAGGTGAAAAACTTTTGTGGTTCCAAAGCCAGCTGGACCCTGACAAAGCAGAATACACTAAACATGATGCCTGTGAAATAATTGAGAGGTATGACAAGCCCCAAGCAAACATGTCGTTACGATTTGTAAAGTTCTGCATACATAGCACTGTCTTGAAATGTTGAAAATCTGTATATTGAGAATAATAAAAACAGGCATCTTTGCTCATATCCTCTTTCGCAGGTACCTTCACCGGTTTGACAGAGAGCTGGAGCAAATTGAGTTGGCAAACAGTATCAAAGGACGACAGGGTCGTCAGCATGGCTCTAGAGAGGCTGTCATCAAACAAACAATAGAACGAGAGAGAGCTCAGTATGAAGGCAATGGCTTTGGTATGTTTCCTATACTCGCATTAACTTTTGTATGGGTCTCTTTTATCTTTATTTGTTTCCTGCCATATAAGAGGTTTATGTGATAAGTGTTCAGAATGCATGAATAAAATGTATCCTGCAATAATTAGACACTATTTCTGAAAATGTAAACGTCTGTCAGGAATGGCATGAACAAACGGAGACAGACTAAATCCAGAAGAACTGTGGCAGCTTTTGCCCTAGGTGCACATGCGCATAGTTTTTCAGGAAGCTTTGCAGGTAGATCTCTTGAAGCATCTTGGAGACGTTGCCACAGTTCTTCTGGATTTAGTCTGTCTCAGTTTGTTCTGTTTCTTCATGTCATTGCAGACAGACTGGATGATGATGATATGAGATCTCTGTGTGGAGCACTGGCTATTGTTAGACTCCTTGTGCAAACAAAAATCTCACTGATTACAATTAATGTCAAAAATGAATGTTTGGAAATATAAACTGATATTTCCTACTGACACACTGCAGCAACAGATAGAAATAACTAAATAATATATATAGAAAGGCTAATTATGCTTCCCCCTTGTTACATTTAGGCAACATGTTCTAGATGGTTTAATGTTGTCTTTCTTTTTTCACTTTACAGAAATCCCTGATATCATCAATTCTAAGCATCTGAAAATATTTAGGTAATTACTACATAAAAGCATGTTAACACTCTTTATAGCAAGTCATCAAATTCAAAGAATTTCTGGCACAGAACTATGTAAAGTCCAACCCTAATCCTAACATAATGGCACATCTTTCTAACCTTGAGCCACATTCGTTTAACAGAGAGTGGACTGGTGACCTCAAGAAACTCCCCAACATTAAGATGAGAAAGTTTTCAGCCAAAGGCTCTGACAGCGCACCATCTGCAGTTTCACAAGATAAACACATGGGAGAAGAGAATAATGAAGATGCATCTCTGAATTCTGACACAGACCTATAGTACTATGAAATCCTGCAGCTCTACTACAGTAAAGTTTACTGTAGAGGAAAAGGACCAGAGTGTATTGGGCCGCTTGCAAAAATGTGTTGTTGTAAGGAAGGAGGTTACTTAGTCACTCAGGTAGCACAGTATTATTATTCCATAAATAAACAGAGACTTTGAAACCGTTTGATACATTCACTGGTTTATTGCACTGACTGGTGTTTGCATGTTTCTTTGATAATGTGCATTTGAATTGTGAACAATGATGTTGATCACCAAATCTCACTTGATCCTGATATGGCCCTATGGGCATTTTTTATTTATTATTTTCATATATGAAGTCACTGCAGAAAATCACAATACAAAAAAAAATTAAAATTTGCTGAATTCTTTCTGATTACCACTCAGCAAAACCTGATCACCTCCAAACCTGCAAATTAACAAATCTCTGTCTTAGAAATAAACAAACACTATTCTCCATAAACCCTTCAAAACATACATCCTTAAAAGCTGCATAAGTTTTTTAAAAAAGAAAAAAAAATTCAGTCCTTCATGCCATAAAACATGGATGAAAACAAATCCTGGTTACTATAGTTATCTATTCATTTCTTATAGATTTAGCTATTTTAAATAGATATGCCAAAAGGTTATTGTGATATGTTTTTTAAACAAGTCAGATACAGTAAGAATGGGTAACACTTTATTTTACATTGTCCTTGTTACATGTACTTACTATAGTAATAACAGTAAATTACTGATATATTGATAATTAACTTAAAATATTAGAACACCTTAAAATAAAGTGTAACCCAAGAATGTTTGTCTCATATCATTGTCACTGAATTGCTTGTATCCACCGAATCCTTATATATATATATGCACACACACACACACACACACACACAGTAGTCAGCATTTGAAATGGATCAAAAAAGTTAATCAAAGTTGTCCTAAGAACACATTTTGGTTTTAGGACAACTTTGATGAAAGTTTTTGATCCACTTCAAATGTCGACTAGTGTCTATATATATATATATTTGAATATATATTTCACACACACATCACAGCCACCATATCTATCTGAAATCTCATTATAACCCATTGAAATAAAAAGGAGAAATTATGATAACCAGGATATGGATGTATGGTGTTTTCCTTGGCAGCTGTAAACAAACTATATACTAAAAAACTTTACAGATCACTGAAAACAAAGTAATTGATGTTAACATGATTAAAGAATACAAGCTATTTACCAGTGCTTGTCTGATCCCTAGTTTGTAACACTTGTATCTTTGGTTTCTTGAAGACTTTCAATGTAATTAATTCTATTAATTTGTAAGGTGACTCTCCTCATCTTTACCTGACCCAAGAGTTTAAGAGATTGAGGAAAAGACAGCTGGGGTGAAAGCCAAAGCTATAGAGGATTGGCTTCCTTGACTTGAATAATCACTGCTGTAACGGCCATGTTCCCCTCTGGTCCCGTCACATTCAGATGTCACGGAGCTCTTGCTAATCTATGGAGTAATTAACTTCAGAACAGATTATAAGAATTTTTACCTTATTTTGCTTAGATCTAACCAGTAATAAATATACAGTATGTAGGCTATAGAACAGGGCTGCCAATCGATTAAAGCAAGACACCCCAGGTGAATAGAATAAAACAATTAAAGGATTAGTTCTTCCCAAAATACACATTTGCTGAAAATCTACTCATTATCAGACCATCTGAGATGTAGATGAGTTTGTTTCTTCACCAAAACAGATTTGGAGAAATTTAGCAGCTTTTATCAGCTGTTTGGACTCTCATTCTGACGGCACCCATTCACTGCAGAGGATTCACCGCTGAGCAAGAGATGTAATGCTAAATAAATCTGTTCCGATAAAGAAACAAATGAATCTACATCTTGAATAGCCCGAGAGTGCCTACATTTTAATTTTTGGGTTGCTATTCTTTCAACTAACAGATATCACCAAACGTCCTGTTGATTGTTTACATAAAAAATTTCAAACTGTTTTGGATTTTTACTAGATACATTATTTCCCAAAGGTCTCAATCAAGAAATTGATTATGGTATGTTTTACTAACTCTGTTTTTTTCTTCTTCTTTAACTTGTTTGGAAGCCACTCCCCTAATTGGCAGTGACACACCTGTTGCTGATTGCAAGAATGTTAAAGCATGGTTTGGTAATGCTGTTCTTGATATCTGATGAAGGCCTGGATAACGGCCGAAACGTCATTCAAGAGTGAGTGCTGCACCTTTTTGAATTGACATGGCTTTTTGATTGCACCTCCTATATCGTTGGTAGAGCACCTCCTCTCAGCAATTTTTGTATAAACTGTTTTGTATTACAAGTGTTCTGAAATGTTATGTTTGAAAATACAAATTTAATTAAATGTGCACTAATTTACAGAATAGAAATCTAAACTTTAGATAAAGCCAGGTTTAAAATTCTTGTTTCATTTTGTTGACATATTACTCAAGTTTTTACAGGGGGGATATTTTGAATATCTCTTTTTATCACTTCATAAATCAGAAAATACTGTCAACAGTCAGAAAATAATATATATATATATATATATATATTAGTTTGGTGTATTAAAAAAACTATTTTTCAGAAAAGGCCTTTAAAGATATGTATTGTAATTGAAAGTGCAATAAACACTTAAATGTGTATTTTGGATGTTACACTACTCTGAAACATTATGGAAAGCCAAAATCTCAACATTGACCAGCACTTGAAAAATGTTTTTGCCTGTAGTGTCTTTGCCTTTTTAATTGGCTTAATGATATGACTGCAGACTCGCAAAAAAACATGAAGGTTGTTTAAGCTTAAATGGCTCAGATAATAGGGAAATCCCTTATTACACTATTTAAGAAGGGATCAAGGTTATGAATACACGTGATAATGTTTTTACACCTTGTTTTGTATATAGTAAATTGCTCACAATAAAAGAATGGTTTACCCCAAAATGATGATTTTCTCATCATTTACTCACCCTCATGTCGTTGCAAACCTGTAGTTTCTTTCTTATGTTGACCATAAAAGAAGATATTTTGAAGAATGCTGGTAATACTTTATCCCTATTTTGGAAGTCAATGGTGGCCAACAACTGTTTGATTACCAGCATTCTTCAAAATATCTTCTTTTGTGTTCAACATAAGAAAGAAACTTATACAGGTTTGGAAAGACACGAGGGTGAGTAAATTATGACAATCTTTATTTTGGGCTGAGCTATTCCTTTTAATGTTATAATTTGACAGCCCTATATATAAGTTTACCCACCCTCTAATAAAAATGTAAAAAGTGCTTTTGTTATATGTAAATCACATCACTTTGGTCAAATACACCAGAAGCCCTTTCCTAAATTTTTCCGCAACTGAGATTCAGTGCAGCAAGCATCCATCGTCAAACAGGGGCCATTTCCACTCCTGTGTTTGTTTGTGTCTGAGGAGCGGGAGCCTCCGCTGTCCCGTGCGTGCCGTTGCTCTGGGTGACTGGGGGTGGCCTGTTCTCTTCGTCGCGGACGGTGTCAGGGCAGTTCTGTACAAAGATGATCCTGTTGAAAGCCTTCAGCCTCCTCCAGAGCTGCAGGTAGACTTTGCACTGAATATACATGAAGATGAGTCCTCCAGAAAAGCCAACCGCCACCACGATGAGCTTGGTCCAGAACGGCCAATCCAGCACCCCTACGGCATTGAGAGGGGACAAACGCACCAACGCTGTGTGTGCAATGACAGCATGGCATGGAATTACAGCACTATATTTTATTAT